CCTAATAGGTCACATGATTAATCCAGATCGCTTTCCGTAGGGAGCCTAGGTTCGATTTCCAAAAACCCCTGATTTTAAATCAACGTGGAGACTATATAAACTATATAAAATATGTGGACATAGTAAAATCAGTGACAACGGTCCAAAAATCACTACTGACAGAAAACCAAGTTAGTGTAATCATCAACTCAAGTTGATGAGACATCGAGAGCACACTGATAATTCCTATTAGCACATTTTAATGAACCGTGTATGTCTATAGAAGGACAAATTTTCAAAACCATCCACTTTTGAAATTTATTTATAAAAAACGACCAATTTTAACTTTAATTTCAAAAACCGACCCAGTTGGTTGAAACTAGGTCGGTTTTTGAAAAAAAAAAATTCAAACTTCACGGGAGTTGAACTCCCGTGAAGTTTTGTTATGAGAAAAAACTTCACGGGAGTTCAACTCCCGTGAAGTTTGGAAATTTTTTTTTTTTGTTATGAGAAAAAACTTCACGGGAGTTCAACTCCCGTGAAGTTTGGAAATTTTTTTTTCAAAAACAGACCCAGTTTCATCTAACTAGGTCTGTTGAAATTAAGGTTGAAAGAGGTCTTTTTTTGGGAATAAATTTCAAAACCGGATGGTTTTGAAAATTTGTCCGTCTATAGAAAGTAAATGTTTGGGTGTGGGCGAAGAATTCTTGTGTACGTACCACAACGTCTTCTGGCTGAGGATTCCTCAATGGAAAAGCAAAAAATCTTCATCTCGCTTTCGTCAACAAGGGTGCAAAGTGTATTCTGGCATCAAATACAACTAGAAAAGGTCAGAATAAATCTCTTACCACAGAAGTAAAACATTGAATTATTTACCACAAAAGTGAATATTATACTCCATGACCTACGCCTATCCGAATTATAATCAAGATAGATCTCAATGGCATCATTAACTCATAACTCATAAGAAGACGGGGATTTATTTTGTTCAGAAAAAGTGAAGAAAAATCTGGTTCAACACAAAAATGAACCGCAATAACTAACATCAAACGTCACCAAATGAACCAGATTGGAGCATCCGGTGCCATTCTCTCCTCTTTTTTTTGACAAGGTCACAGGATAATATTTTACAATCGCTCCTAATTTTTTTAAAATTTGTCTTCACGCATAAAAAAAAATTTTTGACTCCCTTTTAGACCCGATTATTTCTGACCACATTATGACCAAGGACTGAACCACCACAGAATGACACGTGTCGTGGTCAGATAGTGGTCACACTGGTTTATGGTCAAAAGTTTCCGCTGTGGAAAGAGCTGTCAGCTGTGGTCGGGATTTGAGAGATCTATGCAGAGAATATAGAAGAGAGAGAGAGAGAGGGGATAAATAGAGAACGCTCTCCTCACGCTTATCTTTATGTGTCTTTTGCTTCTCTATCCTTCTTTGCTTCCTTGTTGTCTTATAAGCAACAGAGATAAGAGATATACAGAGAGAGAGGGGGGGAGAGAGAGAGAGGAGATTTGCTGAGTTGGGTGATGATTGTATTGAGATGGAGCGCTATGAAGTGATCAAAGATATTGGCTCTGGGAATTTTGGAGTGGCTAAATTGGTCAGGGATTTATGGACCAAAGAGCTCTATGCTGTCAAGTTTATAGAGAGAGGAGAGAAGGTCTCTGTTCTAAACTGCTTCTGTAATTGATTGCAAAAGTTTTTTTTTTTTTTTTTTGAAATCTGTTCTAAACTGCTTCTGTAATTGATTGCAAAAGTTTTTTTTTTTTTTTTTTGAAATTCAGCTTAAAAATCAAATTTTGGTACATGGGTCCTTGTTGCCTTTTCTGTTTCTTACTGAATTTTGAATACTCCTTTGCTATGTAGTGTCGTATTGTGGTCAAAATCAAATTTTGGGTTATGGGTTTGGCTGAATTTGGGTTTTGACTTGGATTGATATTCTCAACATTTTGGTGTTTTCATGTAATTTTCAGTTTATGTTGTTTTTTTTTTTTTTTTTTTTTTTTGTTGAGCAGATAGATGAGCATGTACAAAGGGAGATCATGAACCATAGATCGTTGACGCACCCAAATATAGTTAGGTTTAAGGAGGTAAGTCTCTGCTCTGTTCCATGGCAGTTCTTCTTAGTGTGGATGGGGGGTTTCTATTTAAAGTTACATGTTGGTGTTATTGAATTTTTTAATGTAATTAAGTAATGGGGATGATTATGTTGGTTACAATTGTTAAAAGTTGATGGTAGTCCTCCTCTTTAATTTAAAGCTTTATATTGACATTCAACGTCCTCTTTCCATCACTCAAAAATCTTGACATTATTTTTATACGTCTACCACTAACAACCCCCTTCAATTGTCAGATATTTTCTCCCCCAATTGAACAACTTGTCAAAAACCTCATTATTTAATATACACTGGTTTTTCATCGAAAAGATTTTCTTTCCACCTCACTTTAGCTTGCTCCTCCCGAAAGAAATAGTATTGACGATAAACGAAATTGAATATATCGCATTTCAGTGGTAAATATTTGAAAACTCTTATTGCAACTTTGATAGATTTTTAACTTAATTCTATTATTGTCTATTATAAAAAGATTGATCTCAGAGTGAGTCACTAGTCCAGCAATGATCTTATTATGATGGACAGTTTGTTACTAGTGCATTCTTTTATTGCATTATGTGCCAAAAAGTTTAGGCATAATTAATCAATTTGAAGGGTTCTCTTTTGATGGTCCCGATGACAATGCTGAGCAGATAAGTCCAAATACATATGATGACTATTTTTGCTTTCTTTTCTAAAAAGCCTAGACTTTGATTAGTGCATGACAAAGGTCCTTATCCAAGTTGGATTTAGTAAGTAAACATCCTTAGACTAGCGTTTGACGTAATAGTTTATGGAAACCATATTCAAGACAATAATCACTGTAGAAGTTGGTGTGATTTTGTTTTCCTTGGCATGCTTCACTTGTAGCATCACAAAGCTCTTCATCATCTCTCGCTTTGTGATTTCAAATGATAGGTTTTTGACAAGATTGATATACTTTTAATATCTGCAATTCTTAACCGAGAAGATGACAAGTCTACCTTCCACTTAACTTTCTATCTCTGGCAAGTGATTGCCACGAGGAACTTTGTGATGGACAATAAAGAGCTAACATTTTGTCGGCATACAATTGCAAATATGTTTTTCGACCATTTAACATCTGAACCTCTTTGATATGAGACATCTTGAATAGTTTTGTCAATGAGGATGTTGATATTCACTTGTACTATTCTCTTCTTTTTAATAAAGATTTTGTAAAATGAGTTCAGTGTATACTGTTAATTAGTCCTTTTGCCTCAGGTTCTGTTGACCCCTACACATCTTGCTATAGTTATGGAATATGCTGCTGGTGGTGAACTTTTTGAGAGGATTTGCAATGCTGGGAGATTTAGTGAAGATGAGGTAAATAAAATCATTTATTTATGATTTTATATATTATTATCATGACTTAGTTACTGATCTTGAAATATAATAGGCGAGGTTCTTCTTCCAACAATTGATTTCGGGGGTCAGTTATTGTCACTCCATGGTAAAATCTTTTCCAAAATCAATTACATGATATTCTGCAAGTCAGATTCCAATTTTTTTAGTTTTAACATTTTCATTGCAGCAAATATGTCATAGAGATTTGAAGCTAGAAAATACCCTCTTGGATGGAAACACAGCTCCTCGCCTTAAAATTTGTGATTTTGGCTATTCGAAGGTGACTAAAAATTCTATCGAGTACTTTATAATAAAAATAATAGAATAATAATTACAGATATAATATTTCACGTTAACCCCTTTTTTTTGCAGTCCTCTGTGTTGCATTCACAGCCAAAGTCAACTGTGGGAACACCGGCTTACATTGCTCCTGAGGTTTTATGTAGAAAGGAATATGATGGAAAGGCAAGCTTAGTTATCCTTATTTACTAATGAAGTGAACTTTATTGGTCAAAGCTAATAATAATCCCTTCAAATTTTTTTTTTGGGATCCAAATTGTACAATTTAGATTGCAGATGTTTGGTCTTGTGGGGTAACATTATATGTAATGCTTGTTGGAGCTTACCCCTTTGAAGATCCAGATGATCCAAGAAACTTCAAAAAGACAATTGGGGTAAGTGATATCTGATATGTTTCATAATCATTCCAACATTATAAAATTTTTGAGCACTTCGTTCTATTGCATTTATAATAATCATATCTAACATTTTTTATCCATTAAATTTTCATTTTGGCAGAGAATACTTAGTGTTCAATACTCAATTCCAGACTATGTTCGAGTATCAACAGAATGTAGACACCTCCTCTCTCGGATTTTTGTAGCAAACCCAGAAAAGGTACTAAAACTGCAGAATATTCTCCACATCATTAGTTGTTTAAAATTCCTATAAACTTCTTTATGACATCTCTTTATTATGCGGAATCCATGAAAGATATTTGTCTGCTTGACTTACATTTTATCGAGTATAACACTTTTGAATATCTTATTTTCTCTAAAATGATAATTTGATCAACATTTTTTTCCTATGAACTTTGTCTCCCCCCCCCAGAGGATAACAATTCCAGAGATAAAAACCCACCCTTGGTTCTTAAGAAATCTGCCATTAGAGATGACTGATGAATATCTGAGCACGTTACAGAATGACACGAGCTCTCCAATGCAGAGCGTCGAAGATATCACTGCCATAATCCAAGAAGCGCGGAAGCCAGCGGAGGGGCCTAATTTAGGGGTGAGACATCTCTTTGGAGGGAGCACGGATCTTGATGACATGGACGCAGATATGGAGGATCTTGATGATATTGAGTCCAGTGGTGATTTTGTTTGTGCACTTTGAGCGTGGTTTTTAACTTTTTAATGTTCAAGAGCGAGTTGCTTGTGAGGATTTGCTTGCATGATGGTGCGGTTCCCTCTGGACCTTGAGGATATATGTTGTGTTATTTATAAATCGGGAAAGGTAAAGGAATTGCATCATGTCTGTGAAAAAAAAATTGTGTTACTCGTGTGTTTCAATTGATCAGAATGTTGTGCAATTAAAAAAGTATGCACCACCCGCGGGTGGGACTTCTGGCTAGCGCCACGAAGAGTGAGGGATGGAGATCTCCCTAGTTGGTCAGGGGTTCAAATCCCCGTTGCTGCATTCACCTCGTCCTCTCTAGCTTAGGGTGGGGGTGGGGACCCGGGGGTTTTCCTGGTCAGCCAATCAGCCTGGTAGTTAGGGGTTCGTTCGCGCCAGCTCGGTCCACACGCTGAGCGACCATGTCATGTGGTAGTGGGCCTCCTGGTAATAGGAGATGGGCTCCCTTAGCTCTGGGAGGATCGTGGGGTTCGAACCGTGGTCTCCGCCAGACTTCAAAGGAGGGGTGCTGAGGGGTTGACCAGGTTCCCTCGTTACAAAAAAAAAATGTATGCTCCACAAAAATGGACATACCAGAAATAACTATATTATCGTGGACTTGTAAAAAAAATAAATAAATATTTTCAGACGAGGTTAGAGGCTTTCTCCTACTGAGCACAAAAAGCAAAAAATCGATGGCGGTTATAATAATAGAGTAGGAAGGACTAAAGAAATCAGAACAGTTAAGATGAATATGTTAAAACTTGAAAAAGATACGATAATGATTAATTTACCGGAGGAGATAACTCTAAACAAATTAAAATGGCTGTTTATTTTTGTTGTTGTGTGTATTTGAAATTGAAGAATGTTGGCAATTTCTCTTGGCAAAAGAAGCTCCTCGAGAATTGAAGGCGGTTATGATAAATATATCCTTTGTTTTCTTTTTTCCTTGATTGTCTTGTAGTAGGCCTGAAAGTATCCATAATCAAGACAAACTTCAACTTGTGTACGTCAACATCAGCGTTTGCGTCCCTGGCTCAGCCAATTAATTTTAGGGTTTATGGTTTTCTTGTCAGGGTAGTAGTTAATCGTAAAAAAAAAATAGTAGTGAGGATGACTAATGTTACTATTTTTTATGTATCATGTTTGTGGCTTTTTATACGTACACACATAAAAAAGAGTACCCATTGACTACTTTTTTTTTTAAATAAAAAAGAAAGTGGCGAGAGATATTGCAGGCATGTTAGTGGTTTGGTTTTAATAGAACTACGTTCCATTGGCCGATATTTCTCGCCAATTGGGATGCTCTGGGTTATTAATCTATGATAACAAATGATATCATATGAGTAGTGTTCACTATTCTTCTTAATTTTATAGTACGATTAATGTCACTTAATGCTTATCTTAACGAGAATGTTTAAGGTCCATCGTAAAAAAACTTTATTTTTTTTATTCAGTCGGTGACGGCAACTTGATAGTATAGATATTTCAACGTTAATGCCACCTTTTCCCTAAAAGCACCTTGCTATACGAGCAAATAACGAGAATTGGGCTAGACATTGTCACCGGATCAAAGCCGTCACAGGACCACACAAGTTTGAGAATCCAATTCTCATAGTTTCGGTCGAAATCAAATAATGAGAGACAGAGAAAGAGAGATCGTTCCTCCAAAGTTTCGCTCCTTCGTTGTCGAAGCAGTCGAAAAAAGAATGAATAACGAGCGAGATTTTTCCGCGATAACTCATTTTCAGAACAATTTTTTTCCACCATTTCTTCTTCTTCTTTTTGAACAACTTGATGAAGATTGTTCGAAAGACAAAGTAAAATACACCGTAAAATATCAGCATCAGGATGCGTGTGGGATGACAAGGCTACGACTGGGGAAGTTGCAAAATGGCGCCTCCACTCGAGTCCTTATCATGTACGGGGACAAATGAATTGATATATGACGAGCTCTACAGCTTCCCTCCGTTGAAGGCAATTTGCGAGGAAAAAATTTGGTATTTTATTTAGTGGTCCTGTTATCGTTCATTTCTGTTGTACGTGAGGTCTGAAATTAGTTGCGCGCACCCCGATGATTTTTGGACGGCGGAGAGCGGGTGTCATACTGTCATATCGCCCTTTTTTCTTCCATAATTGAGCAGCTCATGCACGCGGACAGGAACAAGACATCGAGCGAATAGGCACCGTGTGTTCGTTGTTTTAGCGAAGGTGCGTGCGTGTCTGGACAAAAAAATTGTATGATCCCTTCGGTATCATGCTCAGAGCGAAAAAGTATTTGACTTAATTTTTCAAATCACGCGAATTGTACGATAAGTAGTTTTACCGGTAGTTCTAACTTTCAAAAATTGTCACGTCACCAAATTCTGTCACATCTCCGAAGGGCTCCTCGGAGGCTACGGGAAGCGTTCATATTCGGACGATACTAGCTAGACTACAAGTAAGACGCTCCAGTAGCTAGGTCACATGGCAAAACCGCGGCTCTTCCTCGTGGAGTACCTGGGTTTGATTCATGTACGTACGTGCGAAAGACGCTGTAAAAATAATAGTATCATACTAATCTCGAACTAAAAAGATTCCAACCAATTTGTGGTCTAATTATCGCCAATTATGAACCAGTCAATATTCTCGAAGTTCGTGTAGTTTAACATTTTTTGGTTGGGAGAACAATTGTAACTGCAACAATAATCTGTAAAAAAATTTGTCATTCTTAAGATTACAACCGTATCTTTTCTTATAACTGCGGTCTTTTTATAATTGATGTTGCAAAAGCATGTCACTTTGCCAAAAATAATAATAATATCAATTTGATTTAGTAGTCAATTCTGTGCTATAACTAGTATAAAGCTTTCCAATTCAATTTTGGCATGGTTGGTGTTGAGTTGGTAATTACTAATTACTCGAGATGGTGGAGTTAATGGAATAGAGAACAAATGATTACAAATTGAATCAAGAAGGCTAACATGGAGGCCAAATATAGGATATATAAAAAGGCCCTTTATAAAAGCTAGATTAACATTGTAGAAGGTGCATGATCACAAGCTCATCCAACATCGCTCCTACTTTTTTTTTGCACGTTTCCATTGACGAGCTCCATGAAAGAATCACAAGCTTGCGAAAATCTTACAGGTGAGCAAACTAAAACTGATGGTGTCTGTCACATCTCCATAATGTGTTATGTGTGACTATATACATTAAGTGGCTGTTTGGTTCAATTTCTATAATAAAAAAAGGAAAGAAAAAGTACCCAAAAATTTATTTTCATATACTTTTATAAAAATTATAGGAGAAGTTCATAGAAATTCGAAAAGTGGCGTTTTCTTTTTTTTTTACTCTTTTTTTGTTTGGCTCAAAATACAAAAAAGAGGAAAAATCAACTTCATAGAAAATGAGTTGAGAAGTGACAATGGATAAGTTTGTACAAAAATTATTATTTAAATCAATGCGTTAGATTTCTAACCAATTTCCTCTCATCTTGAGAGAAGGTTAATTTTTATAAAATGTGGTACTTTTTCCTGCTTAATAGAAAATTTTTCTATAAACTTTTTTTTGAACCAAACATAGTTTATAGAAAACTATAGGAAACTTTTTAATTACAAAATTACCATTGTCGGGTCTTCTCCTAAAACTTTTGTACAAAATGGGTGCTGAAAAGCTAAGTAGAAAATATCTGCTCCCATGCTCAAAATAGAAGGGGAAAAAATGTCTGGATTCAGCCGTGTTCTATTCACACAAGAGGAAGAAAAAAGCAAGTAAGAACTTAAACCGTGTAGATGAAATCAAACATTAAAATACCAACCAGAGCACCTAATTCATGTCGACAACAGAATTAAGATACCAACCAGACCATTTCAAAGATACATACTTGCAAAATATAATCTAGAAAGCGGAGCAGAATAACTACAACGGCCATTCAAATTCAAGCGCGGACTCAAAACCCCAACGATGAGAGTTAAACTGGCTAAAATAAAAGTTAGGCAGAGCATATAGAGATTATTTTCATACAGCAGAAGCTATTATGATAATGCACCAGATGAGAAAATAGTGGTTAACATAAATTAAGATGCACAACATACAACTAACAAGATCAAAAGTAAAAACCCTCGAAGATCACTGGGAAGTTTTTAGCACTCTGATACCAAGTACAAGAGCCACAAGGAGATGGTCCTAATTGGCACAGGCTAACCCCTAAAGTTCATGTTGCACGTGCGTAATGTGTGCACAGTGGGGAACAGCAAAAAGTGAAACATGGTCCCCACAAATCTCAAAGCATCACGCAAGCTAAACTAGAAAGCCAAATTGGCTATGGAAGATCTCTCACCTCGAAGGTCACAACAGATTAAAAAGGGCAAAAAAGGAAAAGAAAAGAAAAGAAGATCGTCTCTAAGTCGAGAGAGAAGCAGAAGAGCATATAAAATAGCACATTTTTAAAAAAAAATTAACTCGGATTTATTCCGCTGACTGTAAATTGCAACTATCATGTCAACCTGCCGGTTGACATACGTAGCCTTCTTCATAGTTAAGCTTCACATAGGTAAGAAACTTCAAACAAAATCAATATATATCAGCTTGTAAGTAAGACCCTAGATATAATAATTGAATTATGCGCGCATCTTGTTATTGCAGCAGATTCACATGCCTAAGCATTTACCATGCAGTAACTCAGTACAATAGCTTATATATCGAAGATTAGGTGTTTCAAATGTACACTCTCAAATATTTGTTTTTACTTTAACCTTCATTATCCTATTTCTCAAGAAACCCCAACTTACAAAACATATGCAAATCATTAAGGAAATTGGAAAATAGAAAGTAAAGGATTAAAAATCCAGGGAAAATCGAGACCACAAAATAAGCGCATTTCCACAAAAATATAAACATATTACAGAACAGGAATTACAGTCACCCTTCTTCAGATTATAAATCATAAATAGTTCTCTGTTTTCAGTCGACTAAATTAAAAGAGTAAAGGAACAAAGAAATTTGTATCTGCCTCCTGTAAACATATATCTTGAGGGCACTAAAATAAAAGGACGCTAAAATAAAAGGACAAGAAATGTGACAAAGTATAGAAATGACACAGATGCATAATACATAAATTGGCAAAAGAAGAAGTTTTTCTAACTGTAATTGTAACAAACCAAAGCCAGCACAAAGCAGAA